TCATCACGACAGGGCAGACGTGCCACAACACGGTAGTCTGATGTTCTAACCCTTAGCCTACTATACAGCTTCTCCGTGCAAGTCATGTCTCGCATTCTGACCGCGTGGCCAGATCGTCCATCAAACATCAGCGTCATTTCCCTACCTCGCCATACTGATCTCTGCCCGAAAGTCAGGATAGCTCGAATGTCCAAGCTAAGCTTTCAATGATAATAAATCGGTATCAGTATGTACAGATAGCAATCAACACAACATGGGTAAGCTGTGACAGCAGATTATGGTATAATAGTTACAGTCGTCGGGGAATATCGCTACAATGGGCTCACGCGTCAGAACAAAGGTTTAGAAATACAGCAGGGTAATCGTGTCAGTCATCCGACAGAGAGTCTGGGTATACGAGAGACGTCTAATAAGCGAGTTCAGCCTGGAACGCGTAGTCGTCGAGCTCCGGCGAGTAGTCCTGCGTGTATCCCTGGGGCATCATGCCCTGCACGGGCTCGTACGGTGCGTAGCCCATCTGCATCTCGAATTCCCGCTGCGCACACATGTCGAGGTCGAGCGCGAGCACCTGCATGTCCATCGCGTGCTTCGCCTCCGCGCTCTCCATGCCGTGCGCGTCGACGTGCGGCACCCAGCCGTCGAACGCCTGGGTCTGCACGTGTGGCTGCTGCTGCGCCGGCGCGATGTACGATTCAGGGGTAGACATGGGTGCGTGTGCGGGCAGGGAGGACTCGGACGGAGACGGGGAGCCGGAGAAGGCAGAGGACGGGCCCGAGTGTGGGAACCAGTTCCCGTCGAGGGGCATGCCGGACATTGGGTCGACCTGCGGCTGGGAAGACGGGTAGGACGAGGTGGAGTACGGGCTGGTCGCGTACGACGCCCCTGAGAGCTGTTCATGGGGGGCGACATGCTCGAATGGCGAGACGTTGAGCGAGAGCTCCGGGGGAACCTGTGCGTCTGCGAACTTCTATATCGGTCACACGTCAGCATCGCGCACCCGCGAAGCGCGGAAGCGGGTGTACTCACAAAGCCCTGGGCGCTGTCGAAGGCCGGTGCGAAGGCGCCAGACGCGCCACTGTCCAAGAACGTGGGTTCGAAGAGCGACGTGTCGACCTCGGGGAGCGGGGACCAGTCGCGCTGGAGCTGCCACGCCTCGGTGGGCATCTCCTGCGTGTATGCGTCCGCAGGGACCATCCACGAGCGTGAGGGCACGGGTTGCGCGCTCGACGCGCGGCGCTGGCCGAGCAGTGCCCGCTGCGCGCGGGAGATGTTGCCCACGGGCGACAACGGCCGCGAGCCCGCGTGCGCCACAGAGCCAGTGAGGAACGGGAGCGTGGGGAGTGTGATGGGGTTGTAGAGCGTCGTAGGCGGAGGCACAGAGGACGAGCGGCGGTGCGCATAGAGCGGGATGGGCGCATGCAGCGGCGCGGGCGCGCCGAAGTACATCGGGAAGTCGGGAGTCCCCGAGAGCGGCTGCAGGCGCTGCATGTCGAGCTGGCGCACGGCAGCTGCGAGCTCGTCACCCTTCTTGCCTTGAAGCAGCAGCTGCGCGACGTCCTCGCATCGGCGCTCGTCGGACTCGGCGAGCGGGGTCTTCTCCTTGCGCTTCGCGGCGGCGTCCTCCTTCTCCTTCTTCTTCTTGTGCACGGGCCGGTACTTGTAGTTGGGGTGCCGTTTCTGGTGCGCGGCCTTTTCCTCCTTTGCACGCACCTCCCAGATGCGCTTCTCCTCTAGTGGCAGGGCGCGCCAGCAGTTGCCTGACAGATGCCACGTCAGACGCGTGTCATTCGCGCAGCTGACACATTTGACGTACCAATGATCTTGGACAACGAGCAGTGGTTGGTCTCGATTGAGCCGGGGACGTGCTTTTGGCGCACGAATTCGCGCCGGAAGAGCATGAACGCGTTCGCGGGTCGCGGGATGTACCCTTGCGACGGACGCTTGCCTGGCGGAATGCGTCGGCGTGAAGGTTGAGATGGTGGCGCTTCTGAAGGCGGAAAGATCGCGTCTGCTGGAGACGATGGCTCCCCGAAGTTCTCGAACATGTCATCCTGGCCTGGCTCGACGTACGTCCCAGGCGTTACGTTCGGCGCAAAGGTGACATTTGTTGGCGATGGCGAGGAGATACCGTAGTTTCCAGCCTTGATGGGGGCGAGGTCTGCAATATCGTGAGCGGGAGCCAGGCGGGGCGGAATGAGAAGACATACTGATGGCCAATGAGGACCTCCTGCGTTGGGTATGTCTGGCGGGAGGCATGTCTATTGTCTAGAAGGTGGGAGAGCCGTAGCGTGCGTGGTCTTCTGCGTGTCGATTGTCGATTGCTGGTCCGCTTGCCGAAGCTGGGAGACAATAAGAGGGCGGACTGCACAACGAACCTTATTGTTCTGGCCTATGTCTTTATACCGCTGGACGCCCATCCTACCCACGCACTTCCATCCCCGCGAGTCCTTTCCCTGCTTCCAGGACCCCCGCCACCCCAGCCCTCTCGCGTCTCGGCCGACTGATTTCCGCCTCGTTTCAGCGATTTCCCATTGGCCTGCGCCCTCATTTCCCACGACGTCTGTGCTCTCAACCATCATCACAGCTCAGGAAAATCCTCTCCGGATAGCGACCGTCACCTTCAGCAGCTCTGCTCGCCGTCACCAGCCTCAGCGCCGTCCGCACGAATGCGCCCAACATACCATCACGCTTCGTCAGGCGCGGCCTTCTCGAAGTGCTGCCAGAGGTCCTGTGCCTGCCGGAGCAGGCGTCTTCCTATTGCGTACACTGCCTTGTCCCCCAGAAAGGCAACTAGCTTGTCCCTCCTCGTTTTGGCTCGCGTTCACGCTCCAACTCAGGACGGCCCATGTGTGCCGTCAGCTCCAGAAGGGCACTTGAGCCCACCGGCCCTGTCTCGTGAACCTCGCCCGATGCCGTGGCTCGCAAACGTTGTTGTCCCGCGAACTGCTGGCGCGTCGCTCGTACCTCCGCCCTGACATGGATCCCGCATCGAGGATGTGTTCTACCATCATCGCTATATGTTATTCACGCTGGCCCTGGATCTGGCGACTCACTCTTTGATATATCGTGGACTAGCCGCAGAATTCCAATATCCCCAACATATCAGCGGGTACATGGGCACACGTGGCGATTGCTCCCGGCTGTTCCCTGAATACACTTCCGGGAGGAAATCATGCTCACGTATGGCGCAAACTCTACCGGATCCTGGCCCGCACCCTCTTCGAAGCCACACGTGGGTATCTCTCGCGAGCCGACTTCAAGCAGGGTCGAACGCATCCGAATAGAGCCGTCCTTCCATGTTTACACCCCACCTGGAAAAGGACCTGAGCTTCTCCTCGAGTCGCTCGCCTCCGTTCATTCTACGTAGCCACGCACTTCTGATCCGCTCGCCCATGTCCAGGTTACGCACCTCTCTTGACTCCGCGACCAGCGCTCCGCACGAGCCGCACTCTCGTTCCATTACGCAATTGCTCAGATACGCAATCGCCCGATTATTCAATCGCATCTCCGCGAAAGGTATGCGTTGTTGAATTTTTGAACCTTGCTCGAAATCTTGTATTTCGTCGTCGCGGGCCTCGCTCTCGTCGACATTGCAGAAAATGCACGGTGCTGAAACGCGTTTCAGCGCATCGGCCGCGCTGCGGCCCATCCTTGCTTGTTCTTGCTGCCTTCTTTCGTTACCGCTCCTTGGATTCTTGCCTGGTGATACCATTCCTAGGACAGGCCTCAGAAGCTGCACAGACTGCGTCCTTGGCTATGGGCTTGGGGCTAAGAGCCTCGCAACACGTCTAGCTGGACTTCTGCCGTGTCGTCGTGGGTAACCGTATGTGCCTCATGTGCCGCCGGGTATGCCGACTTTGTCCTGTTCTGCGCTGATTGCCTTCCCGCTGTGCAAAATCAATCCCTCCGTTGTTCCATGTCATATGGATCTCGGAACCGCGCCGGCGATACCAGCCCCGGACGTCTCCTGGTTGCCGTCGGTGTCGCCATGGCGTGAGTGTACAGCGGCACGATCAACCGCGCCTCTCGCTTCCCTTTGCTCATCCGTGAAATGCGCATTGCGGGGTGCGACGCCGGAACTGACGTATCTGATCCTGGCCCATTGATCACCAATCATGCAAATTCAACAATCGCGTCCGGTTCACTGTTCCAATCTTGTCATAAATGTATCAGGCCATTCAAGATTCGTGGGAGAACCCGTCCTGCCGAATGCAGCTTGCACTTGCACAGGTCCTTGTGTTCAGTGTAGAAGACAGAGGAGTCTTTGGAATACACTGAGTGCATAGCATTGCATGACACGATACGCCCGTCCTGTGAGCGCGACAACCGTAGAAGGCAGACCCATCGCAGGTGGCGATGCTGCAGTGCATGATCGTACCTCAGGCCGCAGGAAGACCTAAAGAACATCCCGGTTCTGCAGGCGGTCCATATTCCAGAAACGCCTCCTCACCAGTACCTCAAAGGCTCTCGGACGACAGCACGCTGACAACCCGGCACAAGGATACTGACTATACAGCACGCTCTCCGGCACGTCTCTTACCTCATCGCAATGAATACATATCGAATCGCCTGGTGCGAGACACGCTGTCTTATGTCCAAGCGCTACGCGCGTCCCACCCGCACATTCATTGGCCCACGCCCACAATCACCGTACCATCATAGCACCACGTCGCCGTATCATCGCGCCAGGCCCTCTCAGAAAATCGCACTCCCCGCGTTTCACTTGTATAGGACGCAGCCCGCCTGGGACCGCCCCGGTGCCCTGCACCCCGACTGAGAGCAACGGCTCGGCTCGACCCCGCTCCTGCGGCTTTCCCGCGTCTCCGTTAATGGCTAATGTGAGGGCCCGTGATATGTGTCACATGATAGCTCATGGGGACGTCTATTCCGTCTTCTCACTTTCGGGAGAATGGCTGTGGTTTTGAAAGAGTCGTAAAGCGCATTCCATGGTGGGATGGAGTATGTGCCTCATGTAGAGTCTATAGTCCACCACTTGTGTCGGCTCAATGGTCTAGTAGTATGATTCGCGCTTCGGGTTGGATCCTTTAGGGTCTGCTAGTGCGCGAGGTCCCGGGTTCAATTCCCGGTTGAGCCCCTGACAGGAGGCTATTGTTGCTTTTTAACAATCCCCGGGGCATAGTTTCTGTAGTTTCTTGTCATGCTTTCTGCATCGCTCACCTGTACTGTCTTTATTCTGTTGTTTTAACGCCACAATTCGTATTTAGGCAGGCTATCTGTATGGCTATACCACATCAGAGTCACATCTGATTATGATTCATTGGTGGCGCCATCGCGACTGCGAAGGGAGGAAGGGGAGGCAGACCGAACGAGTAAGATGATGAAAGAGGGGGTCGAGGTAAGTACATCTCGGTTCAAGTCAGTTGCTGCCAACTTTTCAGAGGTCGGAGCACGGCTTGCATTGCTACTTGCGGGCGGTTGGAGTGGTTGCATGCAGGAAGGTTCCCAGTGGCGTCCACCTTCCCGTGGAGCACTCGAACGGTCATATGCTGCGCTCCTAGGACCGAAGTCACTTGAGCCTGAGCTTTGCACGGTTCCGCTAGTGCTGGACCTCCGCAAATATTCGCTGATGAGAGAGCTCGCAGGTGTATCTGAATTGTGCTGTTTCGCCACTGCAGTGGTCTTGGAGGTGATTCCTCTTGCGCATGGCCTACTATAGGGGTTGCGAGATGAGCAGGCCTGCAGCAAGTTCCGTATAATATCTGGCAAGTCTTGTCCTACGACACTGCGCGAAGATGGCCGCTCCAGGGTCACTCGCCTTGCTGCAACATCCGCATCCGAGTATGCGAGAAAGGGCGGTTGACTCGTGAAGATCAGCGAGCGTAGACAAGATCAGCGCCATGCACTCGCTATCCTGGGATCAGAAGCGCCTCGTAGCTAAGCATTTTGAAAGCATAGATATCCGATGCATATATAAGGAAGATATAACTGTCATGGATGGCCGAATCCAGAGAAGGGGTCTTGATGTGGTCGTAATGGCGGTCGTTTCCGCCAGCGATGTTTCTTCTGTCAAACCTGTTGTGTTCGCTTTGTTGCAGTGTACGAATTTCGGACAGGCCGGTGTAGACTTGTGTCCACGGAGATCCCATCCTCAGGCTTTCCATGTGCTTGCTGATCGATCAGATCCAGATACAGTCGTAATCTCAGATGCCATGTTCGCACACGACAAGCTTGGACCACCGCCGTTGAGCATATTGCACATAGGCAAAATGATAGTCAACTGTAAATCCGTGAGCCGTGGTGAACACGTGGATCAAGACCGATAGCCTGAACTTTGCCTCGAGGTCATGCGTAGTCCAACACACGAATCATTCTTCTCGCAACGCTGGTTCTGCCACGTTTAACGGATAAAACCTCCCAAGCCCTGCGTTATGCTGTGACTTCATGGTACTTAAGTCCTTCTAACACGTTTCACAGCAGGAAGTCTTCGTTTCATGGCGAACAAGTCTTCTCTGAAGCGAGAGCTGGAGATATTTTTTCGTAATACTCGAGATATGTCCACAAAATTATACCAGTAGGTTGCTTCTATGCTGTAACAACCGTCGCGGGAACAAGAGTGTTCAGCCAGGTTCAGCCACCCAAAAGTGGCAGTGAAGCGCCTTGAAGCGCCTGCCTGCGCATAAGCGCCGCAGACTCAGCTCACACGCTCATCTCTCCTCGACGACGTCGACGGCTGTCGACGGCCAACCACGACAAATGTCTCTCCCTCGTTCCAACTATGACCCACGCAGGGTGTGCTTGAACCCGTTCCCAAATTTAAATCTTGGAAAGCATAGGCGCACCATGGGAATATACCTCGCAGGCGGCCTCGTATGTTACGCAGTTGTCTTGCGCCATCCTCATCTTCTGACACTCTCATATCTCCCCTTTACTCTGCTCCGATGCACTTGGTAGTTCGCGCTGGGAAACTGGATCTTCCTTGACGCCGCAATTCTATCTGCACACGCGCACTCGCCGTATGGCGAGCCCCAGATCCCTCCACCAGTGCATGTCACTTTCGTAGACTGGGTGCCCGGCATCTGCTCGCTGCTTGGCATGTTGATCATCAGCCTCATCGATAAGGACAGAGTGCGCGGAGAGGAGGGCTTTGGAGACTCGCGTGCGGTGTGGCAGGCGCGGTTGCTTCTGTTTATCGGCTTCGCGTTGATGGCAGGCGGACTGGCCGGGAGTGCGGTATGTCCCGTAATTTTCCTGCACAATTGCCTGCCTGATGGCTGTGCGTCCCGAATAGACCGTGCTTGCCCTGAAATACGTCCTGCCTGATTATACGGAACAGTTCACGTACTACGGCTACGCGAACGTCGTGCAGAACGTCGCGCTCATGCTCTCTGCTGTCGTCCTCTGGTTCTCGCAGAGTACGTCGAGCGAATACGAGTATCACCTCTCCATTTGAATCTGTATGCTACTCTGCATCTCTACGCACGTGTACATCGTGTAATTCAGTCGGATCGCTTGCTCAATGTGGACGGAAAGATACCATACTTCGCGGACTGTTCCGCCGTCTTGAAACTGGTCGGAACTGTCTTTCGTACTTGCACTCCTTGGGCTACCGATACTCTATTCGCATAGCCGTTCAGTACGTGAATTGTTCGGTACAGCCAGTCAGAGTATACTTCAAGACAAGCATGGTCCATCTATATGTAAGTAAGTTGGCCGTCAGGTACACGGTGAACATGCAGGGAAGTTGTGAGACACACCACGCTCCTGGCCAGCCCGCCCGCCATCAGCGCAAAGGCGAAGAGTTGGAGCAGCCGCGACTGCCATACCGCACGCGAGTCCCCGACATCGTCCTCTCTGCTCCGTGCACCCCGGAGTCCGTTTGTTGAGCCGGGCGCCGCGAGGTCTCATATTAATCTCACGCCTCAGTTACGCTGACCACAGTACTGCCTCCCGTGCCGAGTTTCTGCACGTTTGCTGCAGCTTGGGGATTCATGACAAATTGTAATGGTTGAGAGCTTGAGGGACACACGGCTACCCAGTCCTCGTATAAGCAAGCTTTATCAAGGAAGCATTCTCCGATATTCAATTGCTTGTCCCTCATGAAGCATACATTGAAGCTACCGCTGGAGTAGCGATGCGCGACTGCAGCTCAAGTACTTAGGGCTTAGGTATTCACCGATGTCGATCCGGTCGACAGAATGCTCCCGTCAATGCAGCAAACGTCCTCGCTGGCAATCGTGCGACTTGGAGTCTTACGCTCGCCATTCAAGAGCTTGAGCATGCTTGCTGTCATGTCTTAATTTCCAAATGGTCACGACACTGTTTCACAAACCATATATCCCAGAGCTTTCTGGTGCACAGCCCCGTGCGATACTCTGCCATGGACGCCGCTGTGAAGACCGCCATTAGTGCAGTGTCTGCGCTCCATCCTGGCCTTGAAGTTCTTCAAACTGCATACCAGTACTACAAACATGTCAAATATTCGAAGGCGAAGTGCAAAAGTCTGCTGACCCGTGCGGAGAGGATGCTACAAACGATAAGCCAGGCAATGTCGGAAAATCGATGCGACTCGAGTACAAGCAATCTGGAGCGGCTGAAGCGGCAAGTTATCCTTGTGTCTCTCAGAGGTCAGGTTCTGATACGGAATACGCATAGGAATCTCGAATCCGTTCGGGACTTGATGATGATCCAGTCCAAGATATCCTTTCTCAAGGCCTTACTACGATCGGACGATATTGACCATGCGCTCGAGGAGGGCCGCGAATCTCTTGATGACTGCTTTACGTGCTTTCAGGTGACAACCCAATATATTTATTGCGACGATTCCGTATTGATGATCTATCCAGATATCTGCGCATGCAATCGTGATTCAGCATCAGGACGAATACGAAGCAGCGCGATGTGATGATGCTCTCGAGATCAAGCAAATTTGCTTGCGAATCCTGGACATGCGAAACGATCGCGCGGTGATGGAAGCCCTTGACGTGAAGGAATCCCAAGCGGATGAGGCCATGCTTGCTATGCAGCGGGTACGTCACCTCACATGATGCTCTTGTTCAACGCTTCCGAGACATTGATACGTGTTACCGTACGTTAGGAACTGCATCAAAACATCAAGGAAAGCCCAGAACGCACCGTTATAGAACAGGGTCTCGCATGTCTTCAGCGATCGACAGGCAAAGCTGTCCCGACCAATACCCCTCGATGGACAATAACCATATATGATATCAACGTCGATCTCGAGACTGAGCTGGGAGGCGGCGGGTTCGGAGTCGTCGTCCGCGGGGAATGGAGAGGTCTTGAGGTTGCCGTAAAGCGGATGAAGAGTGACAGCACAAAGGTCCGCACTCCCTGGTCCTCACATCGCACGTTCTGAAATGGATATGCCAGGATCTCATACGAGAAGTGGAGATATGGTATAACTTACACCACGATCACATCGTACCTTGTTACGGTGCTTCTATCACGGCGGACCCGCCCTTCATAGTTTTGCGGTACATGCAGCATGGTCATCTTCTTCAGTGTCTGCAATCTAGTGTTAATGTCAATCGAGCTCTCTTAGTAGGTGTTCAACAGTCTCCATCAGTATTTAACGTCCTCATGTGTACAGCTATACGAGGTGTCCCTCGGAATGCGATACCTTCACGATGAAAATATCATACATGGAGATATCAAAGCGGTATGTTCTGGATTTCTGACATCGCACTGACACTAATGTGACCACGAAATAGGTCAATGTGCTTGTTGACGATGGTGGCAAAGCATGTCTCACGGACTTTGGTCTCTCGACTAGATACCGCAAAGGGCATAGCTCCAAGAATACCAGTGATATTGGTGGAACTCTGCGTTACATGGCACCCGAGGCAATCGAGACCGGTCGCCTCACGTTTGCCACGGACGTATATGCGTTTGGTATGCTCATCTATGAGGCAAGGCAGTTCTACCACTTGATAAATGGTCCATGTCAGCAACATGCTAATTTTCTATAGACTTTCACTCACCAGCCTCCGTTTCTAACGGAATCAAACGAGGATGTGAAAACTGGACAGCTGATACTGGAGCGCCCCTCTTCACAGGAAGTTGTGGACCGTGGATTGACGGATGCGATGTGGAAGCTTCTGAAGGCATGCTCTTCTT